GTAGAAGAGAGTTTTATAAAGTATCTCTACACATCAAGGTAGAAGAGAGTTATAGAAAGTATCTCTACACATCAAGGTGAAAGAGGGTTATAGAAAGTATCTCTACACATCAAGATAGAAGAGAGTTATGGAAAGTATCTACACATCAAGGTAGAAATTAACGCGTTAAATACAATACACGCATACAATCTAAAAGATAATAGGTTTAAAAAACAATATCCCTACATTAATAACCGCTAGCATCTGTAGCGCCATTAAGTAGTGGAAGAAAGGATGAAAACAAGAGTGAGCGTGTTTGCAAGATCTTAGGGAGGGGGTGGGGGGAGGGGAGGAGGAGAAAACTCACCAACAAATTGGCGGACTATTTTTTTTTAAATATTCCAACATCAAAGCCTGTTAGCAGATGTTTTGATATTAAAAACCACTGCACGAGATGTTCTGACATCATACACCACAGTACAAGATGTCCTCACATTATATACCACTGTACAAGATATTCTGACATCATATACCACTGTACAAGATATTCTGACATCATATACCACTGTACGAGATGTTCTGACATCATATACCACTGTACAAGATGTTCTGACATCATATACCACTGTACAAGATGTTCTGACATCATATACCACTGTACAAGATGTTCTGACATCATATACCACAGTACAAGATGTTCTGACATCATATACCACAGTAAAAGATGTTTTGACACCATATAATACTGTACAAGATGTTCTGACATCATATACCACAGTACAAAATGTTCTGACATCATATACCACTGTGAAAATTTTCTGACATCGTATACCACTGTACAAGATGTTCTGACATCATATACCACAGTACAAGATGTTCTGACATCATATACCAGTGTACAAAATTTTCTGACATTGTATACCACTGTACAAGATGTCCTCACATTATATACCACTGTACAAGAAGTTCTGACATCATATACCACTGTAAAAGATGTTCTGACATCATATACCACTGTACAAAATTTTCTGACATCGTATACCACTGTACAAAATTTTCTGACATCGTATACCACTGTACAAAATGTTCTGACATCATATACCCCTGTACAAGATGTTTTGACATCATATACCACTGTACAAGGTTTTCTGACATCATATATCACTGTACAGGGTGTTCTGACATAATTAAGCTTTAAATAGGATGTTTTACAGTATAAACTTTTCAAAAAAAAAAAACAAGATGTTCATATGTTATAAATATTTCAAAAAGGTTTTTGACATTTCGAACCATTAATAAAATGTTGTGACATTGTAAACTTGTACACACAACTAGAGAACCCACAGAATCTTCATAAAACCAACACTGCAGACAATCAAGCGCTTATGCCGGAGACAAACACACGCATGTGTACACGCAATGAATCGACTCATTATTCCATTTCTGCCGACTTACCACCCGCGTGCACAAAACTCTAAAATTTAACCGTTCCAGATCTCATCTACCCGCCATAGCTGTCGTCTGCAACTTCTTGCCGTCTGCTTTGAAGTTTGCTAACAACTCAGAAACTCGGAGAAATCAGCGGTGGAACGAGAACACGGCCATGAAACCCAAGTAATGACAGCGGGAACAAGTCAGAAGGAAATCAAGACATGAGATGCGATTTGTGTAACTATGTTTGAGTGGTAGAGAGTTTATGGCGAGAAGAAATGTGATGGGGAACAAACGACATGAGGGCACCGTTTAAGGTGCTAATGTGTGTATGAGAGAGAGAGAGAGAGAGAGAGAGAGAGAGAGAGAGAGAGAGAGAGAGAAAGAGAGAGAGAGAAAGAGAGAGAGAGAGAGAGAGAGAGAGAGAGAGAGAGAGAGAGAAAAAAGAGAGAGAGAGAGAGAGAGAGAGAGAGAGAGAGCAACGCGGGGGTAAGGGAATAATTTGTAAAAAAGAACTGGGAGTGAGGAAATAATGTACGAGTGTTACATGGTGGGTGAGAGGGAGAAATCTGTGAGAGCCAAGTGGGAGTGCTGTGAAAGCGTGTGAGAGCGAAGTGGGAATAAGAGAATAATGTGTGAGAGGGAAGTGGGAATAAGGGAATAATGTGTGAGAGGGAAGTGGGAAAAAGAGAATAATGTGTGAGAGGGAAGTGGGAATAAGAGAATAATGTGTGAGAGCGAAGTGGGAAAAAGAGAATAATGTGTGAGAGCGAAGTGGGAGTAAGAGAATAATGTGTGGGAGCGAAGTGGGAGTAAGAGAATAATGTGTGAGAGCAAAGTGGGAGTAAGAGAATAATGTGTGAGAGCGAAGTGGGAATAAGAGAATAATGTGTGAGAGCGAAGTGGGAATGATAGAAAAAGGTGTGAGAGCAAAGTGGGAATAAGAGAAAAAGGTGTGAGAGCGAAGTGGTTGGAAGGAAATAATTTCAAAGTGGCAATACCAGTGCAGAGAATAATATTTTTACTAAACAAATGAATGATATGAGATCCAGGAAAAAGCACGACGAGAAATAGAGAAAGGGAAACAGACAATGATAGGCAGACTCAGTAAAAGGCTAGGAACGACAGACATACAACGAAATACAACCAACAACAAAACACAAACATACAGGCAGAGATATGGCAGAAGATGGAGACAGAGAGAGAAGTGAGAGACATGAAACGCAAAGCAATGAAAGAAAAAGCGACGAAAGGGAGAAACAGAGTTTGAACAACTGATATCAAAAGACAGGGACACACAACCAAAAGAGATAAGTGATGAGAAATAGACAGACAGGAGAGATAAACACACAGACAGACTAGCAACAAGATGAAGATATCACCAGACAGACAACAGTAGACAGAAAACCAGCTTGGACAGACACAAAAGCAAAACAGACAATGCGAAAAATTCTACTTTATAACCACGTGTGGGTTCCAGGGCCCCATTGTGGGGAAAAACAAGAATAAACCCACTGTCTCCACTGCAAGCATGTCGTAGGAGTCGACAGGCAAGAAATCAACTGCATACGGATGTCAGATCTGTAAAACGGATGTGCACACATCACTCTGGTTCTAAAACAAGACTAAAATTCAGAGGTGGACGAACAACAAGAACTTATCGCCAGAGTTTGCAGCAGGTCAATATGAAGAAGAAAGAAGAAGCGACCTCAAAGATAACTTTTGAAGTTCGGCTTTTTCGTTTTTATTTTATGGTCTAAATTGTAAGTCTGTCTCAGCCTGTGAGGCAGATTATCAGTCTATTCCTGTGTGTTGCTAATCTATTTTTAAGCTGTTGTGTAATTTATGCTGTGTAGCAAATATGACATATGGCAAGTCTGACACCCAAGAATACTGACAGCTGACAGTTGACACTGATAATTGTGACATTAGAGAAGCTGACAGTTGACACTGATAATTGTGACATTAGAGAAGCTGACAGTTGACACTGATAATTGTGACATTAGAGAAGCTGACAGTTGACACTGATAATTGTGACATTAGAGAAGCTGACAGTTGACACTGATAATTGTGACATTAGAGAAGCTGACAGTTGACACTGATAATTGTGACATTAGAGAAGCTGACAGTTGACACTGATAATTGTGACATTAGAGAAGCTGACAGTTGACACTGATAATTGTGACATTAGAGAAGCTGACAGTTGACACTGATAATTGTGACATTAGAGAAGCTGACAGTTGACACTGATAATTGTGACATTAGAGAAGCTGACAGTTGACACTGATAATTGTGACATTAGAGAAGCTGACAGTTGACACTGCACCAGCTGATGGTGGCATTGATAAGGGTAAGTCTGGTCACTTGATTGTGGCTTTGATAAGTGTAAGTCTGGTCACTTGATTGTGGCATAGATAAGTGTAAGTCTGGTCACTTGATTGTGGCTTTGATAAGTGTAAGTCTGGTCACTTGATTGTGGCATTGATAAGTGTAAGTCTGGTCACTTGATGGTGGCTTTGATAAGTGTAAGTCTGGTCACTTGATTGTGGCTTTGATAAGTGTAAGTCTGGTCACTTGATTGTGGCTTTGATAGGTGTAAGTCTGGTCACTTGATTGTGGCTTTGATAAGTGTAAGTCTGGTCACTTGATTGTGGCTTTGATAAGTGTAAGTCTGGTCACTTGATGGTGGCTTTGATAAGTGTAAGTCTGGTCACTTGATGGTGGCTTTGATAGGTGTACAACTTATGGCTTTTATTGTGCATTTGATAACTGTAAGTCTGCTGACTTAATTATGGCTTAGATAAATACACGATATCTGTAAAACTGGTGGCTTTAGTGTGGTTTTGATAAGTGGTATCGAGTGGTGGCCTCCTGTCAGCTTTGATAAGTGATATAGACTGATGAAAGGACAGGTGACAGCCGACAATTATTGACAGAAAACTGTTATCAGAACTGTTCCAAGTGAAAAGTAAAATGTATGCGGATATTCACTAAAATTGGCAAGTATATTTGCATTCACAATACACTCACATTCAACTACATACAAACGCAGATTCACATACACGTACACACACACACACACATACACACACACATATATACCGGATGCACTAAACAAAACCTAGAGGCCCAGTAAGAAGCATGCTTGCCTTTCCACCCAGAGGTCATATCTTCCACAAAACGCTCAGATTTGAAAATACTGATTAGGTTCTGAGGTTTATACAGCCTATCAATGGTAATGTTATTATCTCTCTCTCTCTCTCTCTCTCTCTCTCTCTCTCTCTCTCTCTCTCTCTCTCTCTCTCTCTCTCTTTTTTTTTTTTTCTCTTTCCCCCTCTCTTTCTTTTTTCTCTCTCTCTCTCTTTCTCTTTCTTTCTCTCTTTCTATCTCTCTTTCTCTCTCTCTCCCTCTCTCTCTCACTCCCATACAGACTTTCTCGTATGCACATCCAAACCACACCGGAATACAAACTTCTGGGCAGACTCACACTGACATCACAGTGTTAGCTGGATTTGAAAGTCAGTAGAACATGAGAGAATAGATTAGTGCTCTACCGTCTTGACCTACAATTGAAGCTAGACAAATCAAGACTATGGACTAACCAGATAAAGACAGGTGTTACACAGTGGACACTCACCTGTGGCTGGACTGGCTATGTCCTCACAGCCTTGTATCCTGGTCAACGGTCCGTCGTGATTGTGGTCACTCGAGCTCTCAGATGGTCCCGTGTTTCTGGCTGGCGACTCTGGCTGATGATTGACACCGTTAGAATAATAACCATTGTTCGTGGGGCCTCTCCATTGACTGGGCCCCGACATGTGGCATCTTGGGGGCATGGATGTGAAGTCGCTAGCCTGAACGTGTTGCTCTTGGTTGTACGCTGGTATAGATGAGGCGCCTTCTCCTTCACAACAGTGTGGGGAAGAATACATGGTGCCCAGGAAACTGAATGAATGTTTTAAATAGTCACGGCTGTCCTGTAGGCTACAAGACAAAGCTCTCCGAGATGAGGAGTCTGTGGAAGGGAACATGTTTGGTCGAGCAGCCATGCAATGGCCTGGGGTCGATGGACTTCTGTCACTATAGAGGTACGGCAGTTTGTCTCGAGTTTGTCTTACAACCGTCAAAGCTGCTGATGAACCCCGGGCACGAGTATCTATGTTTCTCAGATCTGTTCCCAGATTAGTATCTCTTGCTGCCGGATCTTCCGTGTCCGCACATCCAGGGAAAGTGTTAAATGAGGCATGGACCATATTTGGAGTGGCGGATCTTGAGGAAGACAGCCTACTTTTGTTTCCAGTGTTGTTCTCATGTCCTAGAGTGTGTCCTGCTGGTGTGCGGCTGGTGAAGTTCATGCTCGCAGCCGACAGATTGTGTCCTAAACTATCGCTGTATGGAAAACTCTGAATGTTGCTGCCTGCCTGTGAGTGCGAGAGGCCTGGAGAGGATGCCGTCATGCTGGAGAGACTATTCATTGGGGACTGCAAGCCGGTTGTCCCTGGAGTGTTGTAGGTGCCTGAAGGGTAATGTGTGTGTGAGCTGCTGGTGACTTGGGTCAAGCTGTTGCCACACACTACACCTTGGTAGTATGGATCGAATGTCGTCAGGTGATCTTTGAATATCCCATAAGGCAAACTCACTGACTGCATGCTTGCAGCGTGTGAATTAGTAAAGTCATAATGCCCAATTTCTGACCCACCTCCCCCAAATCCGTTGAACAGACCGAAGGGCTTTAGTGTCTGGCATTTTCTGCGGAAGCCACGTGGTCTTCGCCTGAAAGATCCCTCCTCGAACATAAACTCCGCTCCTGGGTCGATGGTCCAGAAATGGCCCTTGCCTGGCCGACCCACTCCTTTGGGAAGTTTAACAAAGCACTCGTTGAGTGACAAGTTGTGTCTGACCGAGTTCTTCCAGCCGTGGTAGTGTCCCCTGAAGAAGTGGAAACGCTGCTGCAGAAACTGGTAGATCTCGCTGAGTGTGCACCGTTTGACAGGCGATGCCTGGATCGCCATGACAATTAGAGCGATGTAGGAATATGGAGGTTTCTCCTGCCGCCTCAACCCAGTTCCGGACTTCTTGTCAGCCTTGACGTCGTTGTCCGAACTCTCCAGTGGGTGTGTAGTTGTACTGGGTTCCTCGACATCGCTGGCTGCATCGTCTGCAGCACCCAGGACGCTGCTGTTGATACTTCCATCACCACTACTACCACTACGTTTTCCAGGGCCGAGAACATCGGATTCGTCACCTTTGGAATCTGGCAACATGGCCGAGTGATCAAAGCATTTGCTGGAGGTATCGCATGGTGCTAGGGTCGAGCCACAGAAATGGTGCAGGGCCTGGTAGGGTTTCATCAGCAGGTCATAAGTCTCACGGTTGTTGCTGTTGTATGACGTCACCTGGGAGTCGTTTGACTTTAGCGGGAAGTCGTAGGCGGTGAGAGTTGTTTCTCCCTGCTGCCTGGACAGGTGGTAGGGTTTGCGGTCAAGAAGACACTCCATGATTGTTCCTCTAGGACAACTTCAGACATCAATAGTGATGCTGTCCTGGCCGACAGTACAATAGTTTCTCAGTGTCTTTTTACTTCCAGGTCAAAAACCGAGCCATGCTGTGATCTTTTCTATCCCGATTGTTGCGCCATCTACAACGAAATAAAGTCAGGAGTTTAAGTTAAAGATACACATTTGTTGTCAGAAATATTCTTCTGGCCCTCTTCCGAGCCGATCACACAACTGTACACTTCGCCATGACCTCACGAAGCTTCAGTGTCGCTTAGATCACTATTTCTGGCAGAGCTATTGAAGATTGGCACGTGAATCTTTCTTGTGTCCTCTCTGTTACACATACTTCCGGCGTGATGCTGACCACATCACCCATCGTGTGCCGATTGGTCTATCAAATACAGGTCCAGCCCTATGTGCCCTACACGACTAAGGGTGTGGAAAGGGGTCCTTTACTTGTTTGTTTAACTGACACCAAATTTCTCCAGACATCAGAAACATAATTGTATCTGAACATATTGTATCCACGTCTATTATGGAATTGTGTTTTCTCTAAACCAGATTGGACAACCACGGAAGTTGTAGCAAGGGCGGCACATACATCAATATAGTAGATCTTGTGAGTTGATCACTAGGAAAGTGTTTGGCAGAGCTAACCGCCATAAGTGTGGAACCTAGGAGGTTTGGACAGGGTTTCCACTAGACTAGCAATTCCAGTTTATGTATATGTATATAGACAGACATTCAGACAGACAGACATTCAGACAGACAGACAGACAGACAGACAGACATTCAGACAGACATTCAGTCATTCAGACAGACAGACAGACAGACAGACAGACAGACAGACAGACAGACAGACAGACAGACAGACAGACAGACAGACAGACAGACAGACAGACAGACAGACAGACAGACAGACAGACAGACAGACAGACAGACAGACAGACAGACAGACAGACAGATAGACAGATAGACAGATAGACAGATAGATAGACAGATAGATAGACAGATAGATAGATAGATAGATAGATAGATAGATAGATAGATAGATAGATAGATAGATAGATAGATAGATAGATAGATAGATAGATAGATAGATAGATAGATAGATAGATAGATAGATAGATAGATAGATAGATAGATAGATAGATAGATAGATAGATAGATAGATAGATAGATAGATAGATAGATAGATAGATAGATAGATAGATAGATAGATAGATAGATAGATAGATAGATAGATAGATAGATAGATAGATAGATAGATAGATAGATAGATAGATAGATAGATAGATAGATAGATAGATAGATAGATAAATAGATAGATAGATAGATAGATAGATAGATAGATAGATAGATAGATAGATAGATAGATAGATAGATTCGATAGATAGATAGATTCGATAGATAGATAGATAGATAGATAGATAGATAGATAGATAGATAGATAGATAGATAGATAGATAGATAGATAGATAGATAGATAGATAGATAGATAGATAGATAGATAGATAGATAGATAGATTCGATAGATAGATAGACCAGTTTTTCGAATTAGTTTTCGATACGACACGGATGGTTGTTTAAAGATCTATAGCCAGATTTGCAAATACGCCACCTCCTTGTCGCATTACGATTAGAAATGTGTTCAGTAAGTTATACTGAATATTTTATTGGTATTTTCTAGTTTCGTCAAAACAGCGTTGAACCATTGTAATTACTTTATTCACTCCTTGAACACATTTTTGATGACCTAATGAACTTCGTTTTTTTCCGATATGTTCTGCCTACACAGTGTAGTGACACTTTACAAACACCATGTATATATTCGTGCCAAAATTGAAAGAATGAAGAGGGACATCATTCTTTGCAAACGTATACGTCATACACATTACATGCTACTAGTAGTGGCATGAGTACATTTATTCTTTCTGTCCTCACAACACAAACAGTCAAAGCTTGTCTGGCGTTGGCAGGTCCGGTGTTGGCAGGTCCGGTGTTGGCACATCGAGCGTTGGCATGTCACCATCATAAACTTCTTCAGCCGTTAAACGCTGTGGGGAGGAATAATTTGCGATCCAGTGCCCGATGGCTGCCACTGGCTATTGTCATGCCGTGAAGGCGTAGAGTGTCTTTAATGTTGTCGATCCATGATTTCTGCGGTGTCCTCTTGCTCTTGTAGCTGATCTTCTGAGATGTAATGCTTGTGATAGTATTTGATCTTGCTGCATTCTTGATCTGCTCGATGAATCGAGTACAAGGTATCGTTCCCATAATTTGCCTGATAGTTTCATTATTTACTCGACCTCGAATGGTTAGGTTGGCTGCTTTTCTCAGGCACCTCATCTCGCAGGTGGTGATTTCTTTGTAGATTGGCTTTAGCTAGTGTCCATGTTTGGCACTGGTAGCTCAATTTTGGAATGAATATACTGTTTATAATATGTCTCTTTTCACTCATAGTTATGCTTGGATGTCTTAATAATGGTGACAGTTGGTGTATAAATGCACTTGCTTTCTGACATCTGGTTTATGATTTCTCTGTAAATTCTACCATCTTCTGTTATCATTCTTCCATGATATTTAAACACCCTAATCGGATTCGGACCAGGCCCATTCAATTGTATGTGTAGTGGGCCAGGGATTTTACCAACTTGTCAGGTATTGCAACAAAATGTAAATAACAACTATATGTTTAGATTAAAATGTAAATAACACAACTGCATGTGTAAAGTAATTTGTAAATAACACAACTGTATGTGCGGAGAAAGTTGTAAATAACAGCCAAATACAAGGAACACAAAATGCAACTTGTAGAATACCAGCAGGTGCACTCACAGAGGATAGATATCCCTGTCAACTTGGAGACAGACAAGAACTCACCTGAAACCTTCCAGAGACAACCAATTGGAAGAAATCCAGTGCCAACACAGCAAATGTCTGGCCCCGTCTTCTAGACTGTGAGTCCGGACAGGGGGAGCCACAGTACCATCAGCTGGTAGTGCCGGGCTGAACAGATTTATCTATCCTGCGCCTGGCGAGGCAGCGAGTTCTTCGGCAATTTGTTGCTGGTTTTCTCGTGAGCGGTTTCAAGATAGAGTCGTGGCAGAAGGAAGGCGTGGCAAGACTTGTCAGTCAATGAATCTGGCTCCACTGGTGATCAGACAGGAGATGAAGTCTCTGGTCAGCTGACAGGTCTCACTTCAGAGGACCAGGGACAGGGTAGCGATGGCCGGTGGAGGAGCCGGTCAGGACAGGAGGTAGGCGATGTTTGGTGGACGAGCCGGTCAAGGGAGGAGGTAGACAATGTTTGGTGGACGAGCCGGTCAAGGGAGGAGGTAGACGATGTTTGGTGGACGAGCCGGTCAGGGGAGGAGGTAGACGATGTTTGGTGGACGAGCCGGTCACGGGAGGAGGTAGACGATGTTTTGTTGACGTACTTAGAGAAGGGACTCGACAAGTTGGGCGGGGAATTTTTGTACTTGTCACAGACTAGCGTGGTTGTATCAACAAGTCACAGACAGACATGGAGACCTAGTGAAGTCACAGACCAGCGTGGTTGCATCAAGTCACAGACATATACAGGGACTTCATAAAGTCACAGACAAGCGTGTGGACATTAAAAAAGTCACAGCCAATGTTGCATCATTAAGTCACAAACACGCGTAGGGACATTATGAAGTCACATCCAAGGTTGTCTGGGATATTATAAAGTCACATCCAAGGTTGTCTGGGATATTATAAAGTCACAGCCAAGGTTGCGTTGGGACATTATAAAGTCACAGCCAAGGTTGCGTGGGGACATTATAAAGTCACATCCAACGTTGCGTGGGAACATTATAAAGTCAGACCCAATGTTGCGTGGGAACATTATAAAGTCACAGCCAAGGTTGCGAGGGGACATTATAAAGTAACATCCAATGTTGCATGGGAACATTATAAAGTCACATCCAATGTTGCGTGGGAACATTATAAAGTCATAGCCAATGTTGCATGGGAAAATTATAAAGTCACATCCAAGGTTGCGTTGGAACATTATAAAGTTTAGCCCATGTTGCGTGGGAACATTATAAAGTTATAGCCAATGTTGCATGGGAACATTATAAAGTCACAGTCATTGTTGCATCATCAAGTCACAGCCAAGGTTGCGTGGGAACATTTTAAAGTCATAGCCAATGTTGCATGGGAACAATATAAAGTCACATCCAAGGTTGCGTGGGGACATTATAAAGTCACAGCCAATGTTGCATGGGAACATTATAAAGTCACATCCAATGTTGCGTGGGAACATCATAAAGTCATAGCCAATGTTGCATGGGAACATTATAAAGTCATAGCCAATGTTGCATGGGAACATTATAAAGTCACAAGCAAGGTTGTGTGGGAACATGATAAAGTCACAGTCAATGTTGCGTGGGAACATTATAAAGTCATAGCCAAGGTTGCGAGGGGACATTCAATGTTGCCTGGGAACATTAAAAAGTCATAGCCAAGTTTGCCTGGAAGCATTATAAAATCACAGCCAATGTTGCATGGGGACATAATAAAATCACAGCCAATGTTGCCTGGGGACATTATAAAATGACAGCCAGTGTTGCGTGGATACATTATAAAATCACAGCCAATGTTGCCTGGGGACATTATTAAATAACAGCCAATGTTGCGTGGGAACATTACAAAGTCACAGCCAATGTTGCGTGGGAACATTATACAGTCACAGCCAATGTTGCGTAGGGACATTATAAAATCACAGCCAATGTTGCCTGGGAACATTATAAAGTCACATCCAATGTTGCGTGGGAACATCATAAAGTCATAGCCAATGTTGCATGGGAACATTATAAAGTCATAGCCAATGTTGCATGGGAACATTATAAAGTCACAAGCAAGGTTGTGTGGGAACATGATAAAGTCACAGTCAATGTTGCGTGGGGACATTATAAAGTCATAGCCAAGGTTGCGAGGGGACATTCAATGTTGCCTGGGAACATTAAAAAGTC